TCACAAAGAGGTTGTGAAGATGCCCGATGGTCCCTGCCACTACGGACTCCAAAGGCCACAATTAACCTCCCGGTGGTCCAGTGTCTGATACTGGCTTGTATGTTAAAGTGCATATAGAAATGCAACTCTGTGGATGTGGCTGTGGGGTGGGCGAGGAGGCCTTGTGCCCAGGGGTCCTGTTTTCCTTCCTGTGCTCTGACAGTCACCGGGGAAAACTAAAGTGAAACCAGAAATTCCCCTCTTACTTCAAAATGAAACCTAAAAAGCGCGCATGAACCACCTACTTAATGCAGTAGAATGGGCGTTACTGAGGCACCGTTCCACTCACAGCATCCACACTGCCACTTCCTGAAAGCTCACTGTTGCCGCGTGCTCTGCACGTGTTCTGTAACCTTCGCTACAACCCTGGGAGGGGTCTACTTTACTCCATTTCACAAAAGAGGCCATGAGGCCAGTGAAGTCCCAGGTCCACAGACAGGCCAAAGTCAGGATGTGAACACAGGTCTATCTGGTATCACAGCCTCAGTCTCCCCCAAGTCCATCCAACAAATATTTAGGAATCCTTACTTTGTGGGGGTTAAATGGATCAGATGGGATTCTGCTCTCCAAAAGAAACAAGAGGTGGAGTTGAAAGGCCTGAGGCAGAAGGCATCAGCAAGCACTTATAAAGAAAATGCCTTCTATACGCAGTCACTATTCTACGTGCTTTTACAAAGAAACTTGTTTGATCCTCATGAAGACCCTATGTGGTAGGTACTACTATCCCCATAGTACAGATGAAAACACTGAGTCACAAAATGGTTAAGAACCTGCCCAAGGTCACGCAAACAGAAAGGTTGGAGCTGGGCTGGGACCCAGGGACGTGCAGGCTTGATCACTGTACTGCACAGCCTGGCAAAGGAAGGCCAGGGGTGAGCCTGGAGCTAGGATGGTGAGGCCAGGCCGAGTTCCTGGACGGTGACTCTGCTCCCCGCCCGCTGGGCTGCTCTGGCTCCAACATACAGATCGGAGAGGAGAACCTCACAGATCCTCCCTGTGCCGGTTCAAACCCCCTCCTCACGCCTTCAGCGACCCAGCACCTTCCTGGTCCCCACAGCTGCCCAGGGGCCCCATTTTCTTCTGCATTGCCTCGTCAGAAAGGCACAGCTCAACAATCTGTTGCCGTGACTGTTCTCCCAGCCCGGGTCTGAGAGACGGCAGAGCTACCCTAAGCCTTTTGACCTCAGGGGCCCTGTTATTAACCTAACAGGCATGTCTAGTGGGATCTGCCCACAGACAAGGATCCATCAACCCTTATAGACTAGACCACACTAAGTCCTCAGTAAAAATGGACAGTTTAAGCACTTACTATCCAGCCAGCTACTAAGGGGGTACTTTCTATGTCATTATTTCTAATCCTTGCAACCACCCCATTTGACAAATGAGGACCCTCAGGCTCAGAGAAGCTAAGTAACCTACCCAAGGGTCACCCCTTGGAGGAGGCAGAAAGCTAAGTGGAGTGCTGGGCGGACTCCTAATCCCTGGGTGCTCTCCCCACACCGCACTGCTTTTCCTGAGACCTGCATGCAACCAACTACAGGGTGATGAAGAAAATGGGAAAGGCCCTGGTGTGACACAGATAATGCAACACTGGAGAGGTTGTTCCCAGCCAGGAGGAGGCGGTAGCATTTAAGGGGCCACAGCTGCCTTCCATGGGGGAACATATTGTGCCGAACTGCTAAGCTCTAGGCACTCCAGGAACGAGAAACTCCACCCACAACCACAGTCTCAGGAACAGCGTGACACCCAGCGGACTTCCCCAGACCAGGAGTGCGCAGCCAGGAGCAGACATCCCTTCCGTGTCCGCCTAGCAGGAGTTCTCCGTCACCTGCTTTCTGGGATGGTTCTACCCTGGCTGCCTCTCAAACCCTTATCTGCCCTTGGTGTTGAGGCCACTCCCCTGGCTCCCAGCTGTGCCAGAAACCACCTCCAGTTCCCCTTTTAGCAGAGCTGCCCACACCCAGGCCCTGGATCTCTTCTGGTGCCTGCCGAAGTCCAGGGTGTGGCCTGATACATTCAGACAGCGTCATGCTTCCCACTCACTTACAAGAGCCTCTGCACCTCCCCTGGGCCCTTCTGTTGAGACAGTCCTGTAACTATCACCAGTGCTTTGCCAGGCAGGCTTTGAAATTCCAGCACAGACTTCTGCGGCTGCCTGCTAGGCTGGTCTCTGAGCTGTGGGATCTAAATCATTTGTTTTTGTCAGAAAAACCACATGATTCCTAAGAGCCATTTGCCAGAATGAACCACCTCGTGGCAGCACATTGACAGTTTATTCACCTAACAGTGTTATCAACAGGCACAAAGCTACATTCCAGGATAGAATCAACACTCACAGTCAACCTTCTCGTTCTTGGAAAGTTGTCATTTTTTTTTAATTGAAGTGTAGTTGATTTACAATGTTGCGTTAGTTTCTGGCATATAGCATAGTGATTCAGAGATACACCTACATACTCTTTTTCATATTTTTTCCATTATATATGTATTCAAAAAGTTATTCTAAATAAATCAAGACCATGTGCAAATCTTTTGCCACAGATGAAGTTCATGGCAATGTTGATACAGCACAAAGCCTGTAAACCAAAATGCCCAGAAATAAGTGATGTATTACATAAATCCATTACACAGAACATCCCATAGAATGAAATGCTTTGTAAGGCATTAAAAGAGAATATGTAGAAGAGCTCTATGTACTAACTGGGAAAGATATTGATAAAATATTTAATTAAAAAGTAGGTTATAAAACAATGTCCAAAGTACGATCACATTTTGTAACAAAAAATCTATGTGTATCAACATCTTGAAGACACAATACGTCTACCACAATCTCCAAACAGTGAGTGAGATTATGGATTTTAGTCTGCTTCTTTTCGGATGATCCATATTTTAAACCTGTGTCTACATTTAATATATTAATTGTACAATAAATTTTAAAAAGTTTTCTTTTGACTTAAGAAGAAAGCAGCGTATGTCCATTTAGCAAGTGTAAAAACACAGAGAAAAAAATATATACCATCCCATAAATCCAAGTTTCAAGTTTAACCTAAGACAAGTAGTAGTAATTTAGGGCATGGCCGAAGATGGAAAACTGTCACTAAAAACCAGCCAACCTAGAAGATACCATCCAATAGTGAGTACTATTTTCCACGTGGTCTTTCAACACCAAAACAGTTCCTCGAGAATGAGAAGCCGCTGCCAAGAAACTTAGTCCCAGGGGCCTAAGACCCACATTTGATTCCTCAATCTTGGGAAAACATGCTTCAACTGGTTTGATGGAAGCTGCTGAGTTCTTTTACTTCTTGGCAAATCAAAAAAAAAAAGGACTCCCCTCTCAGATTCATGTCCTGGTACAGATTTTCAAACCGCACTGTATACACGACCCTCAGGATCTTATCACAACACAGACTTTGAGTCAGGAGGTCTGGGGTGGGGCCCAAGATTCTGCATTTCTAATAAGCTCCCAGGTGATGGGCAGCTGGTCCAGAGACCACACTTGGAGCAGTAAAGCTCTCCCCGTGATCCTCAGACAGGAGAACTTGGCTCGGCCCAGGGGTGCTGAGGTTAAATGAGACAACGGGCCAAACCTTATCATCCAAGAGGGCAGAAATGGCTTGGCTTTTGGAAAACTCTTACTTCTCGGGCTACTAGTGATTATCAATCAAATTATCAATCAAGCAAACGATCCAAATGGAACCCTAAAGGACCTTGCTGATTTAATGGTCCTATCAAAATGAGCTGTGCACCTCAGTTACCAGAGGGAGCGGCCCCGATGCCTGGGCTGCCTCCCAGGAACTCCATGTATAAGCAGAAACACCCTTGGGTGCCTGAAAAATAGGCAACACCAAGGATTCTCTTCAGAAACAGAACACTCAAGACCCCAATAAATCAACCCCCGAACAGGAATTCCGACTGGCTGTTCTAAAAACTGACACTGGAAGAGAGGTGTGAGGGTGGAAGGCAAAGGTGAGAGGCTGCAGTTCGGATGGATTAGAGAAGGATGAACAGAAAGCAGAGAATAAGTCACCGGAACAGGAAAGGTGGAGAAAGCAGAGGACAATAAAAATGGTAAGAGATGGCCCCAAGTAACACCACTGCAGCTGGAAACCTGTCCCCCAGGGCCCTGCACAATGGCAGCAGGCGCCTGCTCGCACACACCCCCACTTGATCCCGTCTGGACCCCGAGGGGCGTTAATGAGGCTGGGTGGTGAGGCCGACTCCATTTTTCATCATTGACACACAGACAGGCAGGCCTCAGCCCAGGACCCTGGCCAGTCAATCAGCCCCCAGCTCGGCTGTGTATAAACACCTTCCATCTTCAGTCGGCAAGGGAGGCAGGTGCTGGAGATCTGGTCACGGTCAGTTGGACAATCTGATAAAGCCTTCCTGGGGTCGCCGGGACCCAAGAATAGACCCTGCGTAATTAGACCAGGCGGAGAGGCTGTCAGGCAGCCCAGGCGGAAATAACAGGGCCTCTGCCAATCAAAGGGAAACCCGACCACGGTGGCCGGCGGGGAGGGGACATTTGCTGTAGAAGTGGACGGTGGGGGAGGGGAGGTTTCTGCGAGGCTGGCCGGTGACTCTGGCGGGGCTGCACAGCTCATTATGCGAGCCCCGGAGCGAGGCGGGCGCTATCGATCACCAGCGGGGTCTCTGGGGACCTGCCATTATGCAGCAGGCCCCGGTGTGTGCTTTGCTCTGGCCATAACCAGAGGAGCACAGCAACGCACCCCTGCTCCTGGAAAAACAGACTGGCTCTTTTTCCACTCCCATCTTTTAACTGTCTTGCATGCCTCTTGACCATGAAGGTGCACAAGTGGACAGTAACAATAAAAAGACCACAATAGGTTTGTAGTTTACAAAGTCATTCTCCACAAGTGATCTCAGGGAGGCCAGAGGCGGGTGGAGGCTTGAGTAGGGTAGCTGGGAAGGCAGGAGCTCGTTGCCTCCGCCCCTCTCCACCCTTTGGTCCTGTGACCCTCAGCCCATCATATGTGTGCACAGACTGCTAGATATACCCAGGGATTCCAGCTTTGTCAAGAACTGGGCAGAGCTCACTGGCCCCTCTCCCAGCCTCTGGCCAGCTGGCCTCTCACTGCTTTTCAGGTCATGGATCCAGGACGCAGTGAAGCAACCACTCTGCTATCCTTTTACTCCACTGTCTCCTGTTTAAGCCAAAAGTTGCCCCCCTGCAGCTTGCATTTTGGATGGACTAGAACTGATGGGCAGCCTCTGTTCTTGGCTCACATCTACCCTGCAGGAGTCAGCCTTTGGCACATCCTCCAATAAATTCAACATCACAACCCACCCTCCAGGACAGAAGGTTTCTTGGGAAAAAATCAAAGGAGATTTACACTACACTTTTATAGAAGACAACCAGATACACTCTACTGTTACATACCGTGCTTGTACCCCAAGCATCCTTTCCAGTGCTCACCTCCAGGTCCCCCACTCCTGTTTTTGGTTCTTACCATCCATCACCATTTGCATGCTGCTTGTTCCCCTTTCCCTCACTCCCAGAAAAACAAAAGCCATTTGACCAGAATTCTCAACATGTCCCCTTGGAAGCTTAAGAACATATCCATGGGCATTATGCTACAAGAAAGAAGCCGGTCTCAAAAAGTTACGTACTGCAGGATTCCACGTGTATATTCTCAAAAGACAGAACTATACTGATGGAGAACAGATCAGTGGTTGTCAGCGGACGGGGAGGGGATGCTGTGACTATTAAGCATAGCAGCAGGGATCTTTGGGGAGTGATGGCACTGTTCTGTATCTCGATTGTGGCAGTGGTTATCCAAATGTATATAACAGAACTGTATCAACATCCCCAAAGGCCATTTTTACCAACTACGATAAATACAGAATTACTTGCACCAACAGAACTGAACTCCTGCGATGCAGGTGGGAAAATTCTGCAGTTATGAATGATCAACTGATCCTAGTCACCAAATAGGTTCACTTCTTCAAAACTCTTCCAATTTTCGAAGATAGCTTTTTACACAACACATGTATTCTCTCTACCCAAGCTAGGGCTTCGACATGCATTACTTGACTTTGGGGACCCCCATTCATCATATGCAATGCGAGTGGTCCCAGAGAGCTGCCCTGCTGGATGCCCCCATCCCCAGCTTTCTCTGCCTCCTGCAATTAGAGGAACATTCTAGGCCTACCTTGTAAGCCTCTGGCTACCTCCCCGATCTGTCTCTCAGACACTCCCTTCTTCTCTCCTGCACCAGCTTTCTTCCATTTCCTCCAGTCCACCAAGCAGGTGTCCTTGCCAGGCCTCTGCAGCAGCTGCTCCCCACCTGTATTGTTCCACCCTTCATCCCTGCCCGGCCTTCTGCTCACCAGGTCTCAGCTCAGATGCCTCCTCCTTGGAGAGGCCTTTCCTGAGCCCTCAATACACAGCAGCTCAGCCCCCGTCTCACTCTGTGTTTCCATGCTTTTTTAATTTTTCTTTTTATAAAACTTTTCACTCTCGCTTGTCTGTCCTCCCCACAAAAGAATGAAAGGGTGTGTGTTCCGCAGTCAGAGGACCATCCTGCTCACTATTGTATCTACATCACCTAGACCATGCTCCCAAGTGCCCCCGACGGACTGAATAGGCCATGAAAAAGACAGAGCTTGAACAAAATGGGGAAACGACTGTGGGGTGGGGGTGGGGGGGAGGAAAA